CAAACATGCTATATGCTTCCTGCACTCTCTGCATCTTGCACAGACCAGTTATGATGCTGTTATAGGTGACCACATCAGGTTTCAGTCCTTTGTGTACCATCTCCCTCAAAAACTCCAGTGCAGTCTGTATCTTACCAACTCTACACAAACTACTGATCAGTATATTGCAAGATAGGTTATTAGCATTCATCCCTTTACTAAACATTTCCTCAAACAGTCCCAAAGCTTTCTCCACCTCTCCATCCTTGCAAAGAGCTTTTATAAGGCCAGTGTAAGTGAACTCGTCCAGATGGCAGCCCCGGAACAACATATCATTCACGAGCTTAAACGCTTCGTGGGTCCCCCGTTTTCTGAGGAAAGCATGGATTAACGTGTTGTAAGTCACTGTATTAGCAATGACACCGTCTAAAAACATATCCCGATACATCTGTAAAGCCTCGTCCATCTTGTCGGTTTTGGTCAGCCCATGAATCAAGGAATTGAAGGTGAAAATGTCGGGTTTACATCCTTTGTCGGGCATGTTTCCGAAAAGCTCCAGAGCCTCATCCACTTGACCATCCCTGCATAAAGCCGAAATTAGGCAGTTGTACCCCACTGTATTCAGGCACAGACCTTTACTCGACATCTCATGTATAATGTCTCTAGCTTCCCCAATCCGGCCTTTCTTACAGAAACCGTCGATTAAAATGGTGTAAGTTACGACATTCGGCTTGCAATCCTTAAGCAATATCTCGTCTGCCACTCGACGAGCAGAGGATAGCAGCCCCTTCTTGCAGAGTCCATGAATGAGAATGTTATAGCTATATATATCTGGTTTGAAACCGCCACAAGCAACACTCTCGTCAAATAAAACCTTTGCTTCTTCAAATCGGCCGTTTGACACGTACCCGTTGATCAAAGTATTGAAAAGGACAGCATTAGGGTTTGGCACTTTCTTCAGCAGCAATCTTGCTTCATCCAACTGACCCATCCTGCACAAACCCCCCAATAGAACCCCGTAAGTTATATCATCGGGGGCAAAACCTCTGACAAGCATCCGGTCAACTAGCTTGGTGGCCTCCTGAATGCGGTCAACACGGCAGAGCCCAATTATAACGTCATTGAAAGTGTTCACGTCAGGCGTACAACCCATGAGAAACATCTCCTCCAATAGCTTCAAGGCATCATTCACTCGCGAAGCCATAGACAGTGCGTGTATGAGCGTTTGGTACACTATTGAGTTCGGCACACACCCGTGCTTAGTCATGTCCCTAAGAAGAGAACAAGCGGAATCGACTTCGTTCACAGTACAAAGAGCTTTCATTACTCTCGCAAAAGTGAAAACGGTAGGCGATATGCCCTTGCTCAGCATCT